GAATCTCCCAAAGCCTCAGAAGAGGCTTGAGTCCCAGAAGCTGGCGATTTCGGCCCCGCTGGTCCCGTGGGGGGGGGAGCTTCACAAGGGTCCTGGAAGGCTCACTCGGACCCTTGCGAGGCTCCCCCCACAGGGCCAGTGGGGGCAAAATCGCTCCATAAGACGCACAGACTTCCCCCCCTTTTTTGGGGGGGAGTGCGTCTTATGGAGCAAAAAATATGGTATCTTCTGAAAGCTACATTCCCACATTTAGACAATGTATTTGGCTATTTATGTTGCTTGGGAATTTGGCTGGTGTGAAGTGAGTAGGGGGCTATCAGCAGACCTTGACAGTGCATCTTAAGAGCTGCCCAAACCATGTTTTAATGTTGAATATATAAAGCAACCATACTAAATTAGATAATTGGCCTTTTGAACTGTGGTGACTGGTAGTCAGTCTTCAAGTTTTCAACCAGTCATCTTTCCTTCTCCTCTGGCTAAAGTCCTTTGAAGTGGAGAGAGCGCAGGTTGAACATGGCAACTGAAGCATGCAGAAACAAAGGTTTGCTATAGATCTGAGTTTTCACTTGATGTGCTCATGTGCTGTCAAAATGTGATAGCAAGGATATAGACAAATTTTATGCTTTAAAAAGGGACTAAGGTAGCAGTTCCCGGCTTTCCACTCTTAATTTGGTGTAAAATATTGTTTAACTGTAGCAGCACAGACATCAGTTTCACAAACAAAATCGAGTCCTTCCATTTAGTGAGTATTGCTGCTGTAATTGAGTTACACTGTTTTAAGCTTTTTCTGAACACTGTGGGAAAATACTGCTCAACTTTTATGTTTTAACCTCAGTGGATAGGTTACTGAATCCTGCTAACAGAATACACATGTCTTTGGAAGAGCAGCTGCGAGAACTGCTAGAAAAACTTGATCTCACCTGTGCAATGAAATCCAGTGGGTCTAGGAGCAAACGAGCAAAACTCTTAAAGAAAGAAATTAACATGATTCGCATCAAGTTGAGTCAGCAGCAGCATCAACCCCCCCAGATTGAGTCAGATATTGGAAGCCTTGAAGAAGAGAATGCAGCATTAGAACAAGAAGGTGAAGGTGAAGAAGAAGGTAAGAGAGACAGTGCTTGAAGTCACTGTTAACAAATTTATAGTGATGAACACAACCATTTTGGGGGAAAGGGAGAGTCTATTTAGTATTAACTGTCCAGAATCCTGCATTTCTCCAAACTTCTGTTGTTTCTACCATGTTTCCCTGAAAATAAGACAGAGTCTTCTATTAATTTTTGCTCCAAAAATGAATTAAGGCTTTTTTTCAGGGGATGTTTTATTTTACAATAATGTCATCTTCAGGATGCTGCACAATGGTGGAGGGTAGGCTTTCACTTAACTAGGGCTTATTTTTGGGGTAGGGCTTATATTACGAGCATCCTGAAAAATCATACTAAGGCTTATTTTCAGGTTAGGTCTTATTTTCGGGGAAACAGGGTAAGTGGAAGCTTAAGTTCTGATTTTGCTTCCAGCATCTCCAAAGTATATAAGCATTCTTGGAGATTTCTGGAACTTGCAGCCCAAATACATGAAAGAGCATACCACTAATTCCAGGCATACCTTATAATACCAAATTCAAGAAATCTTGAAGCCATGTTCCCATTTGTATTGGAAATTGGACCAGGGATTTAAATATATCAGTGTACAGTGGTATCTTGCAAAACGACAACCCTGCTAAACGACGAATCCAGATAATGATGACTTTTTGCAATCGCTATAGCAATTCACAAAACGGTCATTCCAATGGGGGATTTTTGCTGGACGTCGATTAGGTCCGTGCTTCGCGAACCGTTTGTTCGCAAGACGATGATTTTTTCCGCTGATCGTCAGCTTCGCAAAATGGCTGTCCTGTGTTTTCCGACCCATGCTTTGCAGGGCAGCCATTTTTACAGATGATCGGTGCTTGCAAAATGGCTTCCCTATGGGCGATCTTCGCTGGATGATGAGGTATTTTCCCCATTGGAACGCATTACATCTGATTTCAATGCATTCCAATGGGGAAAGGGTTTTCGCATGAGAATGATTTCGCTAAATAGCTATTTCAGTGGGACAGATTATCGTCGTCATGTGGGGCACCATTGTACCATTTTCTTATTAAACATAACTTTATTTTATTGCATGAACAACATAAAATGCATAATTAATAAGCAGATATATTAAAAAAGTTGTATGTATCCAAAACACATGTACAGTGGTGACTCGCTTAGCGATGTTAATCCGTTCCAGGAAAAACATTGCTAAGCAATTTAATCGCTAAGCGGTTTTAAAAAGCCCAGAGAAACGCAATAAAACGTGTTTAATGCGTTCCTATGGGCTTAAAAACTGACCTTATGTGAAGATCCTCCATAGGGGTGGTCATTTTCGGTGCCTCTAAAGCGAGGCAAAACAGCGGGTGGCCATTTTGTTTTTCCGGTGGCCATTTTGGAACCGCCGATCAGCTGTGCAAAAAGGGTTGCTTTGCCATGATCGCTTCCCCGCAATCATCGCAAAGCGATTTTTCCCCATAGGGGCCATCACTAAGCGATTGCTCTGGCGATGGCCAAAACCCCATCGCTAAGCAATTTCATTGCTCAACGGAGCGATCGCTAAGCAAGGCACCGCTGTATCTTAGTTATTATCTGAGTGGTAGGAATCCTAAGTTATAAAGGAAACAAAACTGAAGGCTTTACCGTGGATGAAAACAGTCTCATACTGTTACATCAGCAAGAAATAGTAACATACAGTGGTGCCTCGCAAGGCAATTTTAATTCATTCCGCGAAGATTCTCATCTTGTGAAAAAATCGTCTTGCGAGGTTCCCTATGCATCGGTCTAAAAAAAAAGTCTTGCAAAGCATGGTCATAGAAAAAACGTCTTGCGAGGCACCATAGTGATTGCAAAAACCAATCGTTTTGTGGATTTTTCATCCTGCGAGGCAATCGTCTAGCGAGGCACCACTGTATTTGGACATGAGATTAAACGTGATGACACTGAAAGCAGGATTATTAAATAGTGTAAAATCTATAACACGTTGCCTGTTTCATAGTCATAAAAGGAGGCATTAAAATCTTGATCTTCAGCAAATGCCCAGTTCAGAAGGATAGTAGATATAGCATACTTCCTTCTAGTATTTCCCAAGTTGCATCAGATGTCACCAACATAAGAAAAGCATCAGATCACAAGCAATGAAGCAGTATATATTTATCCTCTAAAAATGACTGCTGTTCTTGATGTAGGGTAGCCAAGAATTATGCTTTAATTATATGGTACTTTTACATAACAGCATCTTGAACTGGGAAATCCTTTTATCCCACTACAAAAGGGAGACCATTTCATATGAATTTATTTTGATGTTTTATAAAATTCCGGTATTTCATAGGAAAAATAAGTAGAGGACTGTTTGGGAGATACTTCTCCACCTTTTATTTCTTGGCCTTCACATCTTTAAATCTGTAGTATATGAATTAGAAAGAATTGATTGGGAGCAGAAGCATGTACTGTATAGGATGTGACTGATTTGTGGCTGGTTACTGTCAAGATTCCATATTCATGCAATATTGCTTAATTCTTTCTGAACTTATCTAGGTGATAAAGTTACAGATAACATCATTGTGAGCAGCATAGCAGCTCATATGATTACAGTAAAATAAATTCTTTGAATAAATCAAAGTAAATTCTTAATCCATCAGAAGGTATGAGCTCCCTGTGGTTTTGCACGCGTGCACACACCAGCTAATCCCTAGCAGAAGTAATTTCAGAAACTGTAGTTGAGCTTGGAAAACTTGAATGCATGGAAACAAGAGGAAGAGTCTCAAGAGATGATAATAAACTAATGTGACTAAATAGTTCAAAGCTGCACTGCCTGCTTTTAAATAATTATCCAGCGATTATACTACATGAAAGCTAGCAGTTTTCCACTAGGGGTTTTCACATTGCAGATGGCTACTCTTTTCACCTGCTGTCACATTTAAAACAGCTCCTGATATATCATTAAGAAGACAGTTAATAGAGATCAGGTTCATCTGTTTGTAGCTGTGCAGTTCTCTCACTCATATCTGTGCATCATGGTTTTACTAACATATCAGTGGCTTTTGGTCTACTTTTATACAAAGTTGCCCTTTCTAAATAAAAGTTCTAAGAAAATTAAATTTACCTTTAAGGCATTGTGTATGAATAACATATATGTGTTCTGAAATAACATCTTTCAGACAAAAATCTAAATGGTGTTAAAAGCTGGTTACGGTTTTGTTTGTTTATGGAACTACAAAACTGCTCATTGTTTTGACTTGTAAACTGGAGGCATGAGAAGTGACAATTATGGGAAATGAAGGCTGTCGTTGAGACCTGTTAGGGCTACTGACTAGGCAAAATCGTTCAAATAATTATATAGAAATACTTGTCATGTTTGTGTCCTAATCTAGGTGTCTTGTATGGATTGTTGGTTAAGGGAAGCTTACCAAACAGAGCATTTCTGACTAATGCATAATTGCAGTAAAAATATCTAAAATGCCATTAAAATAAATAGTAAGGAAAAACAGATTGATAGATCTATAATCTTCTGATTTATCCCCAGTAGTCAGTGTTTTCTGTTTCTATTAAAATTGAAGTGCATGGTTTACTGAATTGAAATTTGTAGTCATAACTCTTAACATTGTTTGTAGTTCTTAATATATTAATTTATTAAACTTCTTAGTAGCCCCTGTTCTTGCAGTTCAGGTTGCAAAAAGCTAGCTGATGAAGTTAATATAATTGTAATTTCATCTTTAAAGCATTTAAGTCATAAAATACTATGGTCTGTCACATAATATACCGTATTTTAGTGACTTGGCTCTTGTCACAAATTAGAACTTTTTAAATTGCAAACCAGAATACCAAAAGTAAGTCCTGTGGTTCCAGTGAGACTTACTATTATGGAATAAATATGCTGAAATTTAGAGTCAGTCTTTTCCACTTCTGCCAAATTCCCACATAAATTCAGTTTTTAACTAGGATAGTTTGCTTAAAGTTTATGTATGTGAGGTGTTACTCTTTGTATCAAACTTACTGTGGGCTACATATTTGATACTTAGTTTTATGTAGTAGCTCTTACAAATATCAGTTTTCAAAAATCCAACTTTATTAATTTTTTCAGGAGATAAATCTCCCCCTAAACTTGAACCATCAGATGCATTACCTCTTCCTTCAAACTCGGAGACTAATTCAGAGCCACCAACCCTCAAACCAGTAGAACTCAATCCAGAGCAGAATAAACTTTACAAAAGAGTAAAATTTGACAATGAATTGTATAGTACTTCCATTCAGAAAGAAATAAATGGACACACTCCAGAACACTTACTTGACAATAATCTCAGTGATTCGACCGTTTCTGCTGTAGCTGAGTCATCAACTGATGTAAACAGACGTACGTCAATTCTCTTCTGCAAATCGAAAAGTGTAAGCCCCCCAAAGTCTGCAAAGAACACTGAAACCCAGCCAACTTCTCCACAGCTAGGGACCAAAACCTTTTTGTCTGTAGTCCTTCCAAGGTTGGAGACACTACTGCAGCCCAGGAAAAGATCAAGAAGTGCATGTGGAGATTCTGAAGTGGATGATGAGTCCCCTGTAAAGCGTTTGGACACAGGTATTAAATTGCTTTGATATTCTTTTTGAACATAACATGGATGACTTAGTTATTTCTTATTTAAAAGAATCTGCATTCAATTGATATCAAAAAGGTACACATTTTATAATTGTTTTCATGCTTATATATTTTCTGATATTTTGCAGATTTCTTTCATTCATGTTGATCAAACTTCTATTAAAAATTATCCATGTTGTCCAAACCTGTGGTTTTGCTATGATAATTGTTTGTAAACTGCTGTTTTAAAAATCTAAAGCAAGGTCAGGTCTTTCTGAAAACCTTTCTCTATTAAGCCTTTCTCATGTTTGCTGTCGCATATGTGCCTGTTTCTAATAATTACTGTTTTCTGCTTAAAAGACATGGCACTTATAAAGCCACACAAAGATTTTTGAGCAGTATTTTCATTGTGCAATTTTAGAAGCAGGCTCATTTTCAGTTTAAGGTATTTCCTAAAATGTATGGGTTTAATCCAGGTTATTAATTGAAAAGAAAATACTTGCTGGTTCCATTCATAAAGGCTTGCACAAGGGTTTAATGATGATTTATAGCAGCTAGATATCTTGTCCGGTATCATACATGTTCAGAAACAGCTTTGGATTTAGTTCCACTCTTTTAATTAATTGGTTCTACCACAAGGTGTGAAACAACATATATACACCAGTGAGTCCAATTCTTAAATAACAATTACAGTCTTAAGAGTATATGTAGTGTGTGTGTGTGTGTGTGGGGGGGAGATCCTGTATGTTCAGTAGTATTTTCTGTATTGAAATTGCTTACTCATTTTATTTATTTACACACTGAAACAAGGCATTTTCAAAATGTTGGGATTATGTGCATTGTATGTGCATACTTAGTATACTTGGTTAAATATTTAGAGTAATTTCTCCTGAAATAAAAGGAGTTGCATCATGGAATATATTTTTATTTATTTAGGTAAACATTCCTATTTGTAGATGTATGCTAAGCAAATACTTAAAGCTTAGATATTGAGAAATTATTAAAATATATCTATTCATAAAGTGTAGTATAGTGAGCAGCTCAAGATAAGGTGTCCTTTTTTGTATGTACGCCTTGCTACAGTGGGGTCTCGACTTACGAACTTAATCCTTATTGGAAGGCGGTTCATGGTTCGAAAAGTTCTTATGTCGAATCTGCATTTCCCATAGGAATGTATTGAAAACCATTTAATCCGTATCTGCTCTTTTCCGTCCATAGAAACTAATGGGAAACTAATGGGAAGCTGCTATTCCGCCTTCTGTCACTAGAGGGGGATATTTTTCTTTTTTTCTTAGGTCAAGAAAAGTTCAGGAAAGGAGAGGGGGAGGCAGGGAACAGTTTTAAAAGCACTTTTGAAATCTTTTTTTTTTCAACGAAGCCAATTTTAAAGCATGTTTTAAAGCATGTTGTGCTGATTTTTTCAGCACAAAGACACACAGGCAGGCTTTTTAGATGCTGAGCAAGCCTTCTCAAGCCTCTTCAGAGCCAGCCGATCAGCTGTTAGGTGGGGAGAGAAGGGGGCAGGAGCAGAAAAAAGCACAAAATGGCTGCCAGGCTCCCTTCTGAGTGTCGGCTTTTATATGTTTGCTGCTCTTTTTCCTGCAGTTCACGGGCGACTAAGGCCTGGTAAGTGACTTTCTTTTATTTATTTTTAAGTTTCTGACCTTTTCCCCCCTCCCAGAAGCCTCTAAGGGGAGGGAGGGGGCACTTTTTTCCTGTTCGTAACTCGAGGGAAGTTCGTATGTTGAGCATGTAATTGTCTATCGGACGGGTTCGTAAGTCAAAAAGTTCGTATGTAGAACCGTTCATAAGTTGAGACCCCACTGTATTTAGAAGTTTCTGTGTTGTCAGATCACAAAAAATTTAAGAGATCTGCAAATCCAAATAACATTCAGTAGATTAGTCATTATATGTATTTGCTCCATTTTTCATTTTTTTTAAGTTGCAGGTTTTTATTGTGACTATATCCAAATTAAATACAGAATCTTCTCTTGGATATATTTTTCTTTCTTGCGCAAATGTATTATGTACATAATAAAGCCTAGATTATGGCTCTGTAATGGTCTTTCATTGACTGGAGATAGACACGTTCTGTAGTGGAGTTTAAGAACTCTAGTTTAAACTCTAGTTTAGTTCACACTTTAAGATTAAAACACACCAAATTGACAAGATTATCAGAACAAAAAATATGCTTTAAAAACATGTTTAGACAGCAGAGTTAAAAGATTTTCAGTATAACAATCGATTCATTTTAGATGGCCCTAACGTGAAAACTACTGTTGTCTAAAAATCATTGGAAAAATTACAAAGAAGCCTCCCTAAACAGAGTGGGATCACTACCAATTGGAATCTGGATTATATGACAGTTCATAATGTTTCAGATGTCGAGAGGCACTTGAACAGCCTTTCAACATGACCTCAGTGCATGTAAGATTTATGAGAGGGAATATTCCTTGTAGTAACCAAGACCAAGTATATATGAAATAACATTTTGCATGTGCCTAGAATAAAAGTGTATTTGATATCTCCTGCAACTGATGTTGTATTGGTTTACACTGGTTCAGATTTGAGCTACCAGCTTTTGGAAGTTGGGCCAGTTGTTTTTAAACTGTCTTCAAGGATAGACCACAGTAGGGTGGATTAATGTACTTTAACCCAGAGGATGACAGTGCATGGTTTATGGAGCTGTAATGACTACTACATTGTCCACTCCTTTTGTAATCTAATGCTTTCCTTTGTTAAATTGCTCTAGCCATAGTGGAAAGTTATACAGTATCTGGATATTAACTGGATTCCCTGCAGTCAGAATTAGCAAATCCAGTTCATACCCAGGTTTCAAGGGCAATGTCAGCATTGACCAACAACATCATAGGTGTTAAATCACATAACATTTAAATCAGCCCATAAATAGAAAAGAAAGTATGTATAAGAAGAGAATACCTGGTGCTGCAGCCGTTCTAACTATGCTTGGGATAATAGAGAATATTGTATCAATATATACAAGCCACGTATTATTCTAAACATTGCTTAAGGCCCCCTTTGGCACACTTGCATAGCTGGACTTGAATGTGTTATCTTTTTGATCATATTTTGGCTTCAAGTAATTGAGCAGTTTGAGATTAAATGTAAAAGATTTGACAGATTGATTTCATGCAATGTGTTAAGCAACTTCATTGGCTTGGAAGTTAAAAAAATAGTGATGACTTTGACTTAAGCTGTCTGCCTGGAGCATTGAACTCCCAAGTAAATAGTGGCTCAAGATAAATAGGCCTGAATTGTGCTAGAAAACCATCCTGTCCAGAACTGCTTGTGGTAGTAGCCAACCAAATACTTCTGAAAAACTCAAAAGCAAGGGTTGATAGATGAACCTCTAATATGCACACACATGTGATGCATACTCAGTAATTGTGATAACTTCAGTCAATGATCTGATTCATGTGGTTGTCAGATGTTCTAACTGTTCTGCCTTCAAATGTTTTTCACTTTTGTGGTCAAGACTTCAGTTGAAGAGACTGTGATAAATAAAGGTTATCAACTATGATTGCTAAAGGGCAATATATAGTATTAAATCCAAAGCAATTTAGACATAGTTCATTACCATTGAAATTACTGCCCAGCATTCTATTAACATTCACATAAGGTTTCCGTAAATTGCCATAGCTACCCTGTTTCCCTGAAAATAAGACCTAACCTGAAAATAAACCCAAGTATGTTGTTTGAGGATGCTTGTAATATAAGCCCTACCCCCCAAAATAAGCCCCAGTTAAGTGAAAACCTGCCCTCCACATTGTGCAGCAACCAGAAGAAGATGGCATGACTGCACTTGAATAAATGTACTGTAGATTGTAATAAAACATCCCCTGAAGATAAGCCCTAATGCGTTTTTGGAGCAAAAATTATAAGACCCTGTTTTATTTTTGGGGAAACAATGGTTATGACTAATGAAGTGTGTGAATGTGTTTCAGTTGCTTGCATGGTTATATGACCAGTTGTGTACTTGAGAAGTATACCAACACCTTGTCAGTTAGCCACAGTTAGCTGTGGCAGGTCATGTAAACTTTATGTTAACACTAATAAGATTCTGGCTAATGTGTCTTAGTTGCAATTGTTTTAGCAGGATCTAAGTGTTTCTCTACTGCTTCCTGTCTTGGGGTCTGCTTTATTTAGAATGCATAACATGGCAGGATCTTTCATAATCTGCTCGAACTGTTGTATATTATTAAATGTGCTGTTTGACCCACACAGTTTCCCACTATACAGTGGTGCCTCGCTTAACGATTGCCTCGTTAAGCTACGAAACCGCTTGACGATGAAGTTTTGCGATCACTTTTGCAATCACAAAACAATGTTCCTATAGGGAAAATTCGCTTAACGATGATTGGTTCCCTGCTTCGGGAACCGATTTTTCACTTAACGATTTAGAAACAACTGATCAGCTGTTCTAAAATGGCCATCCGCTGTGCAAAATGGCTCCCCGCTGTGTTTTCAGGACGTTGTCTAGAGGGGCGGGGTAAAAATTGAATAAATAAATAAATAATAAATAAATTTAAAGGCAGTGAAAATGGTCGCCCCATGGAGGATCTTCGCTGGACGGTGAATTTTCAGCCCATTGGAACGCATTGGACCAGTTTCAGTGCATTTCAGTTGGCTTTTTCGTTTCGCAAGACGATGTTTTCATAAGACAGCTATTTTTGTGGAACGAATTAGCATCGTCTTGCGAGGCACCACTGTAAATCCAAGTCTGTTATTTATTGGATGATAGCTACAAGTTTATGAGGTTTAAACAGTATTTTACAAAGAGAGTCCATTTCTTATAACTAAAGTACACTTTTTTCCAAATTGTTTAGTTGTTACCTTACCCAGGGTCAACATATATAGGAGGAGCAGATAGCCCTGTCCATTTATGATAGCTTTTCCACATGATTAGGGATGAGTTTGAAAAGGAGAGATTCCTGCTTGAATGTTGGCTGTATTTGTATACATAGTCCTCAAAAATCTGGGTC